TTTCTGGTACAATGCCTGGTACTCTGTTCTTCCAGTTTGTACAAGCAGTTTTCTCCTAGGGAGCCACCTGGTTCCAGGGACTGTTTCAGAGTTGCTATGGGCTCTACTATTCCATGGACCCCCAATCCCTGTGCTAAAGGGATACTCCCAGAGAATCTAGGGCAGTTTTCTTATGAAAGAGAAAAAAGAGAAAAAATACAGAAGAAAGGAAGAAAGGAAGGAAAGAAGAAAAAGAAGCACAAATTGAATTTCTTTGAGGTTACCCTTCTGGAACAGTGATTCATTAATTTATTCATTTAACAAATGTTCATTGGTTGCCAAGTATGTGCCAGGCACTTTTTCATGCATATTATTGTTAAAATGTCATTATTTTTATCATCTGCATCATGAGTCTATATTAGATTGTGATTTTCTTAAGAGCAGAAAGTCTTTCTATTTTAACAAGTGCTCAATAAATGTTACTGACTAAATAATAGTTACTGAAAGATGTTAAAGATGATTATACCCAATCACATTTATATTTAAACAAAAACAAAGAACAAAGATTGCTCTTTAAATTGTACAATGTTATTATATCAAAATAAATTTTAAATATTTAATAATTTTTGTAATTTCACCACTCTAAACATATAAATTGTTTATTTTTCCATGTTTTATTTTTGTCTGTTTATGTGCACATTTTTACATTTTGTAATGTTAATGTTTTCCATGTCGTCTTCTGCCTTTCTACTTAACATTAATGACAAACATTCCTGCATGTTTTTGTAATATTATTACCTTTTGACTCTGTAATTTAGTACATTCTCTTTTCTTGTTTTCGATGCCCTCATTGTGTTCTTTGTGGTCACTAGCAGTGGATATCCTTGAACAACCTGCCAGATGCTTTTGTGTTTCTTCTACAATTGCCAGTTAAGGGAGCCCCTGGGAAAGTACATATCATTCTGGCAGAAGGGATGGTGCCATATCAGGAAGTGTGCTGTCAAGTTCAGGTGTACTTAGGAGAGAAGAAAGGTATGCTTGGCCAGCTGCTCTGAACTGAGAAGGTTGCCCACAGGGATAGGTTTAGCTCTATTTTGCAGTTCCATTAACATGTTTCTTCCTCGTGGTCCTCATAGAAGCCTGCCTGGCTACCATCTGCTAAGATTTTGCTTTCACTGTGCTACAATTGAATGGGGAGAAACGAGAATTCCAAACTTCTGAGATCTGCCTATTTCTCTTTAGCCTTTTAGTGAAGCTCAACTCTTTTGCCACTTGTTACTGTCAAGCACAAAATAAGTACAGAGAAGAACTACTGCATCTGATACAGGATGCTGCCTATTGAAGGAATCAATAGGAAACAGAAGTTATTAGGAAATCATTTCTGTTACTCTCATTCTGGGGACAAGTAGAAGTACATTTATAAAATTATATTGAAAACAAATAGGAAAATGTGTTTTACTTTATAGCCAATTCTTCTGAGATGGAACTAGTTTTCAATGCAGTTATGAGACAATGGCCCTTGGTATTAAATGTTGATTAATGTGCTTTGAGGTATGAACCCAGGCTTGAAAAGGGGAGTTCATATCAAGGAGTGGAAAGGTAGAAGTGCTCTGGGTGCCTTGCCTAAGAGATCGAGCCCTTAAATCTTGAAGGCAAGTCATATTTTTTAAATGAAAGAATTTAGATTGAGGATATTTTGTGTAAAATTTCCCTCTCATATATACTACCACTTATCAAGTTATGTTTTAACACTGCATGAATGGGTTTGGACTATAATGTATATGTACATGCTTGGGTCAGAGTTTAGGGGAAGCAGCAGCAGCCCCTGGAAGCCAATGTGTTGGTGGTAGGTGTCATTTGAGAGAGACCCTAAGTAGAAGATAAATTTGGTGATGGGTACACCCAAAAACAAAAGGTCAAATTGTTTAGGAGTCCCTTCCCAAAAGGAGATCTCCTGGTAAGTCAAAATTTATTTTATTTTTATTACAAAATACACTATCCTTTAAGAAGTATGCTCAAGGGGCTGGTGTTGTGGCTCAGTGGTAGAGCGCTCCCCTACATGTGTGAGGCACTGGGTTCAATCCTCAGCACCACATAAAAAAATAAATAAATAAAATAAAGGTATTGTGTTCAACTATCTATCTATCTATCTATATATATATATACACACACACACACACACACATATACATATATACACATACACATATATACACATACATATATATACACACACATTCTGAGAGGGTAACACTCACATGCTATATATAGTGTGTGTGTGTGTGTTTGTGTGTGTGTGTATGCTCAAGCTCAAAAGAATTCTTTTGAAAATATTTAAATATGGGAAAATTAAACCAAGTTGGACTTAGATAATGATATTTTCTATAAGCAAATATTTAAGAGCATGAGTAAAAGAATGGAATTATTGCATACCCAAGGACTCATCCACCTTGATATTTCTTACAGGCTTAATCATCCATGCATTCACTGAACACTTCCTAAGTGACTATGAGTTGACAGGTATTACTGGCAGTAAGTTGTACTCTGTTGTTATCTATGTCACTTTTAATAATATGAAAATGTATTTGGATAAGCAAGGGCTAAATGTGTGTAGCACAAACACTTTAAGGTATGTGAGTGTTACCCTCTCAGAGTCTTATCTATCTATGCTCTGCCAGAGTATCTGTGCATCCCTGGAAACCTCACTTGAGAGGACAGACGGTGACTGATACCCACATTCTTCTTATACTACATCATCTTATCTGAAACATAATCACCTTAATCACTGTTTATAAAGTTCCACAACTTATATGGGCCAATTACAACACATCATGTTTTTGCCCTAAAAAACCTTACGAATACCTAAAATGCACAGAATGTTTATCTTGAATAATATTCATTGTGTATATGTATCACATTTTCTTTATCCACTCATCTGTTGAAGGGCATCTAGATTGGCTCCATAGATTAGCTATTGTGACTTGTGCTGCTATAAACATTCATGTGCAGTGACCATAGCCCCAACCTAATTCGTAGATTTTTGAGGAATCTCCATACTATTTTTCCCAATGTTGTGGAAAGTTGGTTGTACTAATTTGCAGTTCCACCAAAAACATATGAATGTACCCTTTCCCTGACACCCTTGCCAACATTTATTGTTATTTGTATTCTTGCTAGTTGCCATTCTGACTAGAGATGAAATATCAGTGTAATTTTTAAAAATATTTATTCTTAAGTTTTAGGTGGACACAATATCTTTATTTTACATTTATGTGGTGCTGAGGAGCGAACGCAGAGTCTTGTGCATGCTAGGCAAGCACTCTACCACTGAGCCCAACCCCAGCCCCTCAGTGTAGTTTTAATTTGCATTTCTCTAATTGCTAGAGATATTGAACATTTTCATATATTTCCTGACCATTAGTATTTCCTCTTTTGAGAAGGGTCTGTTCAGTTCCTTTGCCCATTTATTGATTGCATCATTTGCTTTTTTGGCATTGAGAGATTTTTTTTTATAGCTTTTGAGAAATTCCCAGCTATAATAGGATCAATTGTATCAATCAATCATTGTTTTTTTTTGGGGGGGGGTAATTAAGTTTTTTGAGTTTTTGGAATATCCTGGATATTAATGCCCTATCTGAGGAGCAGGTGGCAAAGATTTTTCTCCCACTTTGTAGGCTTTCTCTTGACATTCCTGATTGTTCCCTTTGCTGTGAAAAAGCTTTTTAATTTGATGCCATCCCATTTATTTTTATTTTACTTCTTGCGCTTTAGTAGTCTTGTTAAGCAAGTTAGTTCCTTAACAAGGAGGGTTGGGCTTACATTTTCTTCTAGCAGATGCAGGGTTTCTGGTCTTTAATCTTAGGTCTTTGAATCACTTTGAGTTTTGTGCAGAGTGAGAGGTAGGGTTAAATTTCATCTACTACATATGGATTTCCAGTTTTCCCAGCATCATTTGTTAAAGAGGCTCTCAACAATGTATATTTTTGGCACCTTTGTGAAATATGAGATAATTGTATTTATGTAAGTTTGTGTCTTCTATTCCATTAGTTTTCATGCCTGTTTTGGTGCCAATACCACCCTATTTTTGTTACTATAGTTCTTTAGTATAATTTAAGTTCTGGAATTGTTATGCCTCCTGCTTCACTTTTCTAAGGATTGCTTTGGCTCAAATAGCCAATGTTGTTTCATTTATATGCCTACTCATTCTCCCCAACCCCATGAATTACTTCTGATTAAATCCTAGACGCCTTATCATTACATATTTATTTCTAAAAGATATTCTTAAAAAGATATAAATACAGTACCATTATCAAATAAAACAAGTATTTCAGTTTCATCCATATGAAAGTATTTTTTTTTGGGGGGGGGGAGCGGGGTTACCAGGGATTGAATTCAGGGGCTTTTGACCACAGAGCCACATCCCCAGCCCTATTTTGTATTTTATTTAGAGACAGTGCCTCACTGTTGCTGAGGGTGGCTTCGGATTCCAGATCCTCCTACCTCAGCCTCCCGAGCACTAGGATTACAGGGGTGCGCCACCGTGCCAGCTGTGGTTTTTTAACTTTTATTGCACGGATAAAAATAATTTCGCTAGAAAAATTACCTCATAATGTCCATTACTTTTGAAACCACAAGATCTGAGAAGGTATGATGTATATTGTTAAACTACTAAAAAATAAATAATAAAACTAAGTTTATTTGTGGGGCTTGGCCTCAAGAACTGCATGCAGATTGGACCTAACTAACCTGCTGACAGTGTAGTTGAGACTTCCACAAGTTGTTTTTTTTTTTTTTTTTTTTTTTTTAACTTTGGAAAGCAAGGTATGAGAAGGGGATTTAGTTTCTCTATTAGGCAGAGGCATGTCAAAACTTGTTTCTTTTTCTAAAGCGTACAAGTTGCCAAGAGAACCATGGACTTTTATGAACACGTTCTAGAAGAGACTTGTTTTTGAATGCCTGGGTTGGGGAAACTCGCTCGTTTCGGTCACTTTCCTGCCCTGGGCCAGCAGTCCCGCCCGGCTGGCTCCGGGCGTGCTAGAGGTCAGCGGCTCCGGCCTTGGTGCTGGGTCTCGCGTAGCTCCAGGGCGCTCTGGCCACACTGGGCGTTTCCTCCCTTTCCGGGTTCGAATAGTTTTGTTTTGGATCTTAGCTCCCTGTCAAGGAAAGGCACCCTGTTGACCAAAGGTTTCCCAGTCTCCTCCGGTGGCCAGACGCCAAGTTTCCTCCATCTCAGGGGGTCCAGTCTTTGCTCTGTTCGAGATCCTCGAAGGCCTGGGAAGAGAACCAGGAGGGGAGAAGTGGGCAGGGCCCTTCTCTGTCTCCGGGCTAGAGCCCATTGCGCGGCAAAGGGCGAGGGCAGTCTTCGGGTGACTCCTCAGGAACCCAGTTCTTCACCATTCCCAAGAGAATACTCAATCTGGCCGCGCCAGGCTGAGCAAAGGGCGACCAAACCCGGGCAGGGGTCCGAGGCGCATGCGCGCTCCGAGGCCGCGGCGTCTAGGAGTTCGCCCCGCCGCGGC